TAATTAGATCAACATGAGACAGATTAACAAGAGAAAGAAACAAATTTAATTACATTTGTCTGGGAACCCCACCTATACGAAAGGTTCAGTGACAGAAAGTTAAAATGAGGTGTGTATGGCATTTAGTGCTAAGGATGAGGTAAGGCACTTTGGGGCATCAGAGGAAAGGGCATCCCAGGAGGATCAGAAGGGCAGATACTCAGTAATTAGATGTTTGCCCTGCCCTCTACATAGGTCATAGGACATTATCTCCAGTAATGACTTATTATGGGCAAGGCCCCTAATTTAAATTTTTTTAAGGGAGAGGTAGAAATTTCTCATGAGCCTACAGGGTCTTGATTGGCCCTCAGTTTAAAATAATGCACATGCCAAAGTGGCACACGTGGGGGAGGCCTGTTCTGAACCCTCAAACCTCCATAAAAATGCATAAACTATGGGGTCCTCTGGGTTGGTGAATGCATCCAAGTGCTAGGAGGGTGGCGTACCCCAACCCCACAGGGACAGACGCTCTCGTCTTCAGAACCCTTCTGGGTTTCTTCATTCGCATCCCTTGTAATACCCTTTATAATGAACTGGTAGATAGAAATGTTTCCTTGAGTTCTGTGAGTCATTCTAGCAAATTATCAACCCCCAGGAGAAGGTCTTGGGAATCCCTGGTTTCTATTAGAGCTAGTTGGTCAGACGTATGGAAGGCCTGGCTGTGCAATGGGCATCGGAAGTGGGGGCCGTCTTGTGGGTCTGAGCCCTTAACTGTGGAGCCTGATGCTAACACCAGCTGGATAGTGTCAGAACTGATTTGTACTATAGGACACCCAGCTGGTGTAGGAGAACTGGGCCCTGTGGGTACTGTTGGTTTAAACAGTAGAAAAAAAACACAAAGGTTTCCTTTCACTCTGTAACCACAAAGGAAAAGCGTGTCTCAGCCTTGACTTTCAGGAGGAGAAGGAAAATAAGTATTTTTTTCCTGAGAATTCTAACAGCCTTATTGCATCACCATCTCTGGGAATGAGATTCCCTGCCTTCCATGCTTAAAAACCCTAGGGAATACTGGTCCTTTTTCCTCTGTCTGCTGAGGTTCCGGGTCCCCTTGGAAACCCCCAGTTCATTGAGGGACAGTCCTTGTCCCTTGTCCTTTACAGTGTGAAAAAAATGGGGGCCTATGCCATGAACCTGACAAGCTCAGGGGGAACCCATGGCAGGCAGGCCTGACAAGCTCAGTGACCAAAAGTAACCACACAGGAGGGTCTGATCATAAACTGCTAGCTGGGCAAGCCACAGCAGGCAGTCAACTCCCAGGCCTCCAGCTGCCGTAGGCAAAGCCAATCTTCACCGTGAGTGAGCCCTGTCCTGTTCTTATGCATCCAGGAGAACACAGCTTTGCAATGTCGCAGGAATTTTCTTTTCTAGACCCTTCGCTGGCACAACCGCAGGCCCCAGAGCACAAGATCACCACAGCCGGAGACCACAGAGCCCTTCCTTGTTATCTTGTTCCCCAAATGCCAGTTCCATATACTATAAATGTTAATTATTAACCATCCTGTACCCACCAATGTAAAAAGGTGTGTTTCTCCATTTTTGCTTTTTATCCAATCCTACTGATTTCCCCGCTATGCTTTCTCCCACCTCGTGATGCATTTTATGTATCTTCCTGGTTTTTTTTTTTCTTTGATTCTAAGTGCAGAAAAGAAACGGGCAAACTCCATTCACAGAAGCATTTTCTCAATCTGTTGCAATTTCGCTTCTAGGCATGTCTTCAAAATGTAGTGTCAAATAAACTCTTACAAAATTTTTCTATAGGCTACACTTTCTTTGGTCAACAATAGCCATCCCGGAAGTTCCTGAAGGGTCTCTTTTGCCTGGGTGAGGCTGTGGGTTCCTCCCTCGGTCTGATGCCACCTATATTATTGGACACTGAATATTCTCCCTCTTCTGCTCTCCTGATGGTCTAGGCCAGGGGTGGGCAAACTTTTTGACTCGAGGGCCACAATGGGTTCTTAAACTGGACCGGAGGGCCGGAACAAAAGCATGGATGGAGTGTTTGTGTGAACTAATATAAATTCAAAGTAAACATCATTACATAAAAGGGTACGGTCTTTTTTTTTTTTTAGTTTTATTCATTTCAAATGGGCCGGATCCGGCCCTCGGGCCGTAGTTTGCCCACGGCTGGTCTAGGCTCTCCTGTGATCCGAGGGAGTTTATTCTTAGTTTCATATTCCTTCTGCCATTTCACTGGGATTTGGGGAATAAAGAGGAGGTAAGTTTATTATTTCCGTGAGCTTTCAGAAACTGTGGTTAGCCCAGCCAGAGTGGCTCAGTGGACGGAGCATCCTCCCGTGCACCAAGAGGTTGCTGGTTCAATTCTGGTCAGGGCACATGTCCGGGTTGCGGGGTCAATCCCCAGGAGGGGCGTGTAGAAACATGTGATGTTTCTTTCTCATCAGTGTTTCTATCTCTCCCTTTCCCTTCCTCTGTCTCTCAAAATCAAGAAAAACATATTAAAAAATAAAAAACTGTGGTTATTAGCTGGTTTTGGAAAAAGAAATAGATGTCTGTTTCACAGCTCATACAGTTGACCTCTGATAGTATTATCACTTCTTCACAGATGCACTCCTACCCTCAAAATATGCCCTGGGGACGCTCAATGCCAAGGGGCCCTCACTGCCTCCCACCTCCATGTCCCAGCCAGGAGCATGCCAAAGCCTCCCAAGCCCCTGGGGTTACCCGGGGAGGCCAGGGAGCTAGCATTAGGTGGGGGTTCTAACTCCATTGATCTGAATAGTTGGGACAGGTGTGAGAGAACCCCTGAAAACTCTCCATCGTCAGCTTTGCTAATTTTGTTTTTAAGATCCTTGTATCAGATAGGCTCCTTGTCCTTGATCTCCATAGATTCAACCAGTTCTCTTAGACTGAGGTATGATACTGTGATATAAGAAGAAATATAGATTTGGTCTTCAACCCTAGTTCCTAGCAAAGAAGTTCTAAAACCCTTGGAATTTCCTGAGTGGTCAGGGTGAGGGGCATCTATTGTTATTTATAACAAGCTCCTTTCAACCCTACCAGAGTTTATGCTAATGAGGTGACTCTTGGAAGAAGGGGGTTTGCAGCCAAGGAGACCAATCCTGGGATTAGAGGGTTGAAGCTTTCACTCCATCCCTGACCCCCAAGGAGGGGAGGAGGGCTGAGGATTGCTTTAAACACCAATGGCCAAATGACTGAATCAATAATGGAATATCCGAAAAAATTCTAAATAAATAAAGGGGTTCTGAGAGCTTCTGGGTCAGTGAACACATCCAGGAGCCAGGAGGGTGGTGCACCCCAATTCTATGGAGACAGGAGCTCCTGACCCTTCCAGACCTCATCCTGTGTACCTCTTCATCAGGTAGCCCAATCATACAGAAGTGTGGGTTACCTGAGGGCCACGACTTTCATGGGCCTGAGCCCTTCATCTGTGAGGTCCCTGCTAACGCCAGATAGTTAGTATCAGAATTGGTTACGTGAGGAGGGAAAACCTCACACGCAAGCTGTTAGAAGTGTTGTGGGTAGGGAAATTGTTTTCTTTATGAGGTTACTTAGATGGCAAGAAAAATCCCTCAAATATTTGTCAAAAGAATTTAAGAACAGCACTCCTCACACCCGATTTCTATGTGTTTTTAACAGAAAGCATAGAAAGAAAAAGAAAGCTACATATTCACTAGGCTCCATAAGCAGGTTGGTCTGATGCCAGAACCCATTCAAGTTGGATTGGCCTTGAGTAGTACTCTCAAGTTGATTTATAACCCAAGTCTCTTTACTATTCAAGGCAACACACAGCCCTAAGCCCAGGCATCAAAACAGCAACCAACAAATTAGCATTATCCTTGCAAAACTCAATCAAACATCTGCACCCAAAAGCTGACACACAAAGGCACTGCAGTGCACTCCAGGAGGCATAAATTATAAAACTGGATTCACATATTTAAATGGAATGTGACCATTTTTTGAAAAGTATCTGCCACATACCCTTTTACTGGCATATTTAATTTTGTATTTTAGTTGAACATGCTTGTTAAACATTACGTGTCACAAAGTTTATATCTGTAAAAGCCTTCAATTGTGGATTTTTTTTTAAAGGATACTCCATTAAACTCTCATAACAATCTGAGAAATGGAAGGAGAGATAACAAAGAAAAATGCATTGGAATCCGAGAAAAGTAGAAATAGAATAAGGTTCTTGACTTCCCGGGGGAAGAAGATTTAGACACTGATTTTTTTTCTCTAAGTGCTTCTAAAATTAATATGTAAAAAATGTTTGTTAAAATTTAGAATTGACAATTAGAACAAATGGTTAGAGGGGAAAAAGTAAAGAGCATGGATTTATAGACACAGAAACAGGCCTGGCAGGGCCATCAGCAGTAACAATGAACTGCTCACGGTTTCCTCGGTCCAGATGCACTGCCCACTTTCTCCTGTAGCCTGAGTACTGCCTCCATCTATTCTAGACCTTTCCAAAAACCTCACCTTTCTCCCTGCTCCCAGCCCTTATCCCACTATATGGAGAACACATTTCTATCCTGGCTTCTATAACACTTTATTAAACTGTTGTTTACAAAACCATCATGTTCATCAGACATAAGTTCCTTGAGGGCTAGGACAGAGTCAATGTCTGAGTCTTCTACCACATTGTAGTTACTCAATGTTTGTTGAATGGCTCAATATAGAGCCAACTTTTGCGCATTTGAAACTATTAGAGACGAGTAAGAGAGTTCATATGAGCAAGGCTATGAATGAGTAAATGATGGTAAGTTATTTGTTGCAAGAAGGCCAGGAGCATGTGTAAGTTACTAGTGCCTTTCTGAAAAAGCCACCCTTGCATCTTTTTTTGCTACATTTAGAAATCAATGGATGACGCAGGAGGATGGACTGGTAGACAATGTTAAGGCATCTTCTATCTCCAAGGCTCCAAGTTTAGAGAATAATTTTAAGAGACATTTGGACTGATTGTCCCTGAAACCATATTTCACCTGCAGAAGCTCCATGTCTTCAGGGTTCTCAGATCCAGGAATATTCTCCATCAGGATGGCGGACATCACTTTCACATTCATCTTCACCATGTCCAGCTCGCTGTGCAACTTGCCAATCTGTTGAGAGCAACACAGTCACCGGTCAGTATGTGGGACCCCTTGTTTCCTTCTCTCAGGGGACCCTTGCTGGGAGGAAAAATGCTTTTTGTAAAATTTAATATTGTCAAATCTCTATTTCAATTAATATATCTATTTACACATTTTGCAAATGTGTCTTCTGTCACTTATAAGGACTTAAAGATTGCTTGTAATAAATCCAAAAATATTTCCCAGGATTGTTAAAAATGAAGGGGGAAAATCAGATTAGGAACAATATGGAGAAGGGGGAAGGTGACTATACCAGGGACCTGGACAAAATGGAAAATGTTAGCCTGGGTTTCTTGGCAACTGATGGGAAAAAGGGGGAAAAAAAGGTGGTACAGTTATCATGGTATTAGGGAAGGAAGAATCAAGGAACGCTTTATTTTTTTCTTCCTGGATTAAATTCTAAGAGAAATTAACTGCATGGGTTTTTTTTTTAAAGGGTATTTATTTGTGTTTATTTTTTATTTTTAAATCCTCACCCAAGGGATATTTTTCCCATTGCTTTCTAGAGCGAGTGGAAGGGAGGGGGAAAGACAGAAAGAGAGAAACATCAATGTGAGAGAGACACATTGATTGGTTGCCTCCTGCTTGCACCCCAACCAGGGCCAGGGATTGAGCCTGCAACCAAGGTACATGCCCTTGACCAGAATCGAACCCGGGACCCTTCATTCGCTCTATCCACTGAGCAAAATCGGCTAGGGCTCCATAAATTTTTATGTAATGCTGAATAATACTACTACAAAGTCTTCAATAATAGTTCCCTTAAAGCAGCACAGAAAAGAGCTTCATACGGGGTGAGGCAAAAGCAGGTTTGCAATTGTGAGTTTCTTATATTATTATTTATTAATTATTATATTATTTTCTATAACAACAACTGTAAATCTACTTCTGCCCCATCCTGTATAATAATTGCTCATCTGGACCTCTGATAAACAGATACAGAGACAAACAAGTAAGTGTAATTCAGTTAGCACAATAAATACTCCTAATAAGACTACCATGTACTGAGGTTTCTGAAATGGTGTTTGGACAGTCCTAATCAAAACCAATAACAATCAGCTAGTTGGCACCAGGTCCATTTCACAGCCCAACCTCCACAAAGACACAAAAGCCACTAGCCAAGCAGAACTGTTCAGAGCTCGGGCTTTAGGGTCAGACAGAATCCGTGGGCTTAAGTGCACTTAGAATTGACCCATGATACATCACACAGTGTCATTAAGCTCCAGACCCCTCCCCTGCAGAATGAGGGTAACAATGTACCCCCACCTCATAACAGTGTGAAAAAGAATAAACAAAATGTATACCAACTGCTCAGAACTTAGAAAAAGTCATCAATACACTCAGTTGTTGCTACTGTTACCTGTTCTGGGACCAATGTAATAGTCGCATTCTTGGGAGCAATTACAGAAGAAAGAGCCGGTGCAGTAGGAACAGAGGTGGGTGGATTTGATGAGACTTGAGCAGTCTGTCAAGATGAAATACGGAAAGACTATTATTTAACATTTATGACCATAAACACCCCAAGCCCAGTTTTTTTTCCATTCAGATGACTCCATCACTTTCTCTCAGCCAAAATCCAAGTTTAAAGGGTGTTAGTCCAGAGTCAATCATCAAGTGTTGAACCTGCCCACATTTTGCCCACATTTAAACAAATGGCATAATAGACTAAGTAGAAGGTGGCTATTATGATTATTAACGGAATTAAAATTTAATAAAATGCTCTTAGATTTTTTTTACCAAGGGTCTACAAGACAAACTGCCCTGTGAGATTGCTGCTGTCCTCTTTCGGGTCGTTACAAACAAAGGGTCAATCAATTCGTGTCGAGTCTTTTGAAGCCACAGCTGGCGAAGCATCTCCTTTTCCACCAATGGACCTCTCTGAATCCATGCTCCACTCCCAACCCCGGGTGGAGAGCCCAAGTACAGGGCTTGAGGCCAGTGCTTCTCAACATGAATGTGCAGAGAAGTCACCGGGAAACCTTGCAAAAATGAGCCTCTGATTTAGTCGAGGATAAACTAAAGATGATACCCCAAATCACACTTTAAGTAGCAAGGTTCTAGGCCATGACCACACTGTGCCATGGAAGAGAACAAAAGGGGTCAGATGAGCAGGCTCATGGGCAGGTGAAAGAATGGGGAAAAAGGCGAATGGCCACACCAGTAGAAGAGCTGGCCCTCCAGACAGAGCCTCCTTGAAGATAAGACTTGTGGTATTGCTTATTCCACCAAGATAAGACTCGCCAATCTAAGGAAGGCAAGGAATGCTGTTTTTGCATTGTAGAAATTACAGAAAGTTAGGCGAATTTAATCAGCCATTCAAAGTGATATAGTTCAAAACTTTGGAAATTATTTGCAAACTTGAGAATACATGTGAATATCTAGAAACTCTCTCATGGACACAGTATCAATAATAAACAATAGACATATTATAAAGCTACCCAAGGTAAAGGCCCTTGTCTAGCACCAAGACCTTTTGTTTGAAAGCTGCCCTCTCCTCTACTATAGCCAAATGATTCCTATTTGGAGCCAACATATCATATTTTTACATGAACTCAGTTGAGTTGTGCAGAAATCGAAAACTGACCCAGATTGGTTCACGGAGCCTCCTTCTCCCAGTTTTTGTGTGTTTTTTTAAAAGTTGGAATCTGAAAAATGCTAAAGCAATCACATGGAAAACTGGGAGCTATGTTATCTGCTATGTGGAAGAAGCTGTTCTGCAATGAGAGAGAGGAATGAAGCTGGTGATCAGAGGAACATCTAGAAGCAGACAAGAAATAAGGCATTTGAGAGCTTGGTCTCTGGTTGTTCAAAAGATCCAGCTAACACCAACCTGTTGTGGCTTCATTATTCTAGGACAGTGATGGCGAACCTATGACACGTGTGTCAGAGGTGACACGCGAACTCATTTTTTCGGTTGATTTTTCTTTGTTAAATGGCATTTAAATATATAAAAGAAATATCAAAATATAAGTCTTTGTTTTACTATGGTTGCAAATATCAAAAAATTTCTATATGTGACACGGCACCAGAGTTAAGTTAGGGTTTTTCAAAATGCTGATACGCCGAGCTCAAAAGGTTCGCCATCACTGTTCTAGGACATACTGCAGTATCCTTCTAATACAGTCATCTTCTTGCTTAACCTAAATAGAGCTGAGATTGTCCCTCTCAGTGAGAAAAAAATCCATGTCACATACTAACTTACTCTACGTGAGTCAAAGAAAAGACCTCCTACCTCTTGTTCTGCTGCTTCCACCTCTGCCTCTGAGGGAGGAAAGTGAACACCTTTCTTAAGCAGGTCAAGGTACACGTCCTTCACCTCACTTACATCCACACCTCCAGGGAAACCCTGGGACCAAGTCTGAAAACAACAGCAAACACAAAACACAATTCTTAAGCTGGTGACTGAAAATGAGAGATTGACAATGAAGGACTTTACTCAGAATGAGAAAGCTACTTTTGAAGGCCAAGGACAAACTGTACATTTTCAGAGACTAGAATAATAATATAAAATATGTTTAAGCCTGGCCAGCATGGCTCAGTGGTTGAGTGTTGACCAGGAGTATGAACCAGGAGGTCACGGTTCGATTCCCAGTCAGGGCACATGCCCAGGTTGCAGACTCGATCTCTAGTGTGGGCTGAGCAGGAGGCAGCCGCTCAATGATTCTCTCATCATTGGTATTTCTATCTCTCTCTCCCTCTCCCTTCCCCTCCTAAATCAATAAAAATATATTTTTTAAAATAAAAAATATAATATGATTAATCATCAGACTCGCATGCCTCAACATTTTAATGAAACCCTGGAATATATATTATTATTTTTTGCTGTACCAAATCCAGAATTAATACACATATTCTAAAACAGCATCCGTAGCTCTTTTGCCAAATAACTTTGTAAGCAATCAGTTATCTTCTCCAGACATAGTTTTCATATCTGCAAAATGAATGTACACATCACTCTCTTTCCTACCTGACATGGAGAAAATAGAAACCAGAGAGAAAGCAGGAAAATGACTACAAATTCTCTTGGATAAAAAAGCACCATCCAATACCAAAAAATTACCATTACACAGAAAATCAAACAGTAAAATGCTGTCTGGCTCCATCAGAGGTTTGTGAAGGACGACGAAACCAATTGGTATGTAATGAAATCTCTAATTGTAGAAGTGTTCCATCCCATCAGGTATACAATAGACTTACCTTAATGAAATTCAAAATTCTATTCTGAATGTTTAGTGGCAAGGTGTATCTGGGTTGCAGCAGCTTAACTAGACTATCTTTAACAAACTCCTTCTTCACAATCAGAGATTGGAAACTTGGACCACAGTTCTGCATGCACATGTCAATAAGCTAAATTAGAAGAAAAAAGTTAAATGGTAAATTTCTTTGGTAAAACCACTTCCTAAATATGAGGTGAAAATTGCTAAGTAACAATTTCTACCAGCATTCTCATTAACAAACAGAATTTAGTGTCTACTAAAACATATGGCAAAATGTTAGGTTCCAGGGAATGTGACAAAGTATGCTTAGAGCAGCAATTTTCAATCTTTTTTCATCTAATAGCACACATAAACTATCAAAATTCTGTGGAATACCAAAAAAAATATGTTTTTTTGCCAATCTGACAAAAATAGGTATAATTTTCATTGATTTACAAAAAATAATAGTAGCGCCGTAACTGGTTTGGCTCAGTGGATAGAGCGTCGGCCTGCGGACTCAAGGGTCCCGGGTTTGATTCTGGTCAAGGGCATGTACCTGGGTTGTGGGCACATCCCCAGTAGGGGGTGTGCAGGAGGCGGCTGATTGATGTTTCTCTCTACTCTCTATCCCTCTCCCTTCCTCTCTGTAAAAAATCAATAAAGTATATTTTTCGGTTTTGAAATTTCTAACCCTATTTATTTATTTATTTATTTATTTTTTAAATATATTTTATTGATTTTTTACAGAGAGGAAGGGAGAGAGATAGAGAGTTAGAAACATCGATGAGAGAGAAACATCGATCAGCTGCCTCCTGCACATCTCCCACTGGGGATGTGCCCGCAACCAAGGTACATGCCCTTGACCGGAATCGAACCTGGGACCTTTCAGTCCGCAGGCTGACACTCTATCCACTGAGCCAAACCGGTTTTGGCTCCAAAGTGACTTTTAAAAGAATCAGGTGACTATAGTTGTATCTAAGGATTTCTGGTACCAAGAATTAGCCAATCAGATGTAAGCTTATTATGAGGCATGACCAATAAGATGCAACTTTATTATATGACTTATATACTTATGGTTCAAGACAGGGCATTCATACTAGATGGCTATTATTGTGTTGGCTGTTGTCATTTTTTTTTTTTTGACAATCTAAGGGGAAAGAGGTCAGTGGCCCCGCTGAACAGTCAGGTATAGCATGTTTTAAAAATGCTTGTGGCACACCAGTTGAAAAATCGCTGGCTTAGAGGACAGACTTTTTAGGGAGTCAGGACACATAGTAGGACCTTAATAAATGGTAACTATTTTTTAAATAATTGTGTTGAATTTTTTGGAGTGACATTGGTTAATAAAATTATATAGGTTTCAAGAATACACTTCTTTAATACTTCATCTATATATTGTATTGTGTATTCACCACCCAAACTCTAGTCTCCTTCCATTACCATCTTCTCTAATACTTCATCTATATATTATATTGTGTATTCACCACCCAAACTCCAGTCTCCTTCCATGACCATTTATCCCCATCTTACCCTCTTCTACCTGCCCCCACCCCACCTTCCTTTCTGGTACTCACCATGAAGCCTAATGCCTGAGTCTATGCTGTGTTTTGTTTTTGTTTTTGTTTTTCTTAATCCTATCACCTATTTCACCCAGCCTCCCAATCTTCCTGACAGCTGTCAGTCTGTTCTCTGTGTCCATGAGTCTGTTTCTATTTTGTTTGTTTAAATGGTAACTATTTTGAACCCCTGCTTCCATGCGTAATTTTCCATCAGGAGAGAATGTGCTGGTTAGCTGAAAGAAGTATTCTTTTCCCAGAAGCTTGAAGAAAAAAAAAGCTACTTGGTAGTTTTAGTTCTCACAGTGACTAATCCAAGCACAGAAAACCAGGCTTTGGGGCCATCCAGAGCTGAAGAAGACCACCCCGAGGCCTGGCCACCCTAGGGGCTGAGCTCACTCTACAACAAACTCCTGGAGGAATAAACACATTTGACACTTACCCTGAAGCCCCCATAGCTCTCCACCCAGGGTGTGCTCCACAAAGGCCTATGAATTAATTGTCTCCTAGGAATCTGTCCAACCACTTTCCATTTGACAACAATAGCATCTTGCTGAGACTTATTGACTCATCGGAGAAAAGGCTAGCCTAAGTGTTATAAAGCCTGGTAACAAAATGCTTCCTTAAAAACAGAACAACTGGCTTCTTGACAAAACCGCTCCACCAACTGATGGTAGGAAATCACAGTCTTGTCATATCCCAGGGAAGACCTAATCAAGGCTCAGAAATCCATGGAGAACCCAAATGTTGGATGGTATCAGGAACATTCATAATTGACATTGACACTCTCTCTTCACTTCATAGTAATAAAATGGAAATGTCATGTATGGGGATTCATTTTTAAAGAGTTTATTGGTAAACATCAAATTGCCTTTGATGCACATTAGATGCTGCCTTCAGTGACTAATTCCTGTCACAATCAAGTCTGGCTTAACAATATCAAAGTCAGTCCTGAGGCCTTCAACACACCTCTGCAATGCAGTGAGTAGTCTGAGGTGAGGTGATTGGGCCCTCTTGGGGGAATCTGCAAGAAGCTATCAAGCGACAAAGGCTAATGTAAAGGAAATGCAAGAAGCAGGTACCCTAGTGAACTCGGACCTTCACAATGAGGGGCTGTCCTGCCCCCCAATCTGTGACTCTCGCCCTTATTTTGGCACAGGTTTTAGATTCGTTTGTTCTCAGGTACTGGTGTGGAATTCATGAGATGGAGGAAGTACAGTTACCCAAGAGGGAACAGGGAGTAAGGCTTGAGAGCTCAGACAACCTGAAGGGAAGAAAGGGGAGCCCAAAGCGAAATGGAGGGTCCAAAGGGTAAGAAGAAACAACACTGTGGAATAACTCAGCTTCCTCAGGGAAGGGTCCTGGTTCATCCTCGGAAGGAAGGAACCACGATGGAGAGAGATATGGAGCTGGAGATAAGAAACAACCATAGACATGTCAAGTAGGCTGGGTACAATAGAGAAGAGATCGGCTCATTACAGAGGATAAACTTTTGTCAGAAGGTGAAATAACCACATGCTGAAATATAGAAAGTGGCATAAATTCATCTTCTGACCTCATCTTCCTCACTCAAGTTTCCTAATCTTTGGTGGCCTGGAGCTATTCAAGATCCACTTCATTCCAAAACTACATGTGTTTCTCCCCGAATTCTACAGTCCCTTCTGTTAGCCCTTGAGTGTTCTTGACTACTAGGAGAGGTGGTATTGGGGGTGGGCACGAAACCATTAAGTCAACATCAGTAAGTGATACATGATAGATAGTCCTGCATGAAGGACTTGAAAACATGAATGAAATAAAATAGTCATGGGCATGTAAAGTACAGCATAGGGAATACAGTCAATAATATTGTAATCACTATGCGGGACCCAGTGGGGTACTGGAAATATAGGGGGGGAACATTGTAAAGTATGTGACTGTCTACTAAGCTGTACATACACCTGGAACCAATACAAAATATTGAAAAATATAAAACATTTGAGGAAATGAAAAAAAAATATATAGTAGCCCATTCATTCAAGGGGCACGATTTGTCCTGAGAAACAAGATGGTATGGGCATGGGCATGGAATTTAGACTCTGAGGACATGCTACTTAAATCTTGGGGGGGGGGATCACTTAATCTCACTGGTCTCAGTTTCTTCATCCGTGAAATGGAGTTAATAGTACACCCATGTCACAGGGTTGTCCAGAGCATCAATCAGGTATCAGGCAAAGGCTTATTTCCATCATCGACCCATTGTACAGCTATTTCTACTGAAGTGCCTCCCTCCTCCAGAGTTCCCTCCATTCTGTGACCTCCCTGAGGTGGCTGCTATGGGTAAAGGACAAGGGAAAAGTAAAAAAAGCAAAGAATGGAGAAAGACGAAAATGTCTCTAAAACTACATTCAGTCCCAGCCCAGCCCGAGTGGCTCAGTTGACTGAGCGTTGTCCCATGCACTGAAAGGTTGCTGGTTTGATTCCTGTCAGGGCATATACCTGGGTTGTGAATTTGATCCCCAGTTGGGGAGCATATGGGAGGCAACCAATCAATGTTTCTCTCACCTCTCTCTCCTTCCCTCCCTCCCCTTTCCTCTCTCTGAGCATGTCCTCAGGTGAGAATTAAAGAAAAAAGAAAAACGATATTAGCTCCTAACCGAAGAATTTCTTTAGTGAAAGCATCATTAAGACTTTTCTCATTCAGCTACTCTCCAGGTAAGCAAAACATGAGATGTTTTCTTTGCCATGAAACCAGGAAACGGGAACTATACTACCTCTGCCCCATGGCCCTCTGATCACCCCCAAAGCCTCTTAAGAGCAGTGTGATGCTGGCTGATTAGTGCCACAACCATGCGTGGCCTGGGCTGGGCTGAGGTCCAAAGGCATGCAGAAGAAATCAGAAAGCCACACAGCTCACTCTCAGGCAGCAGGCAAGGCTTGCAAACATCCCGAAGGAAAAAGGGCAACTCACCGAAGTGACTGAAGAGGTCATATGGCCAAGGATGGGGGGGAAATGGTAACAGGTCACGTAAGTGTGCATACTCAATCCACAGACAATACGGTGCACGGGAGAATTACTTACATCAACAAAGAACTGTCTCCCCACTGTAACAAGCAGCAGAACTTGGCTGAACCTTAACGAACTGCCAGCACCTTGGAATGCCACAAAGGTGTTCAAGTGCAACACAAAGCTAACGGGGGAGCATTTTCCCAAGACTTTAATTCCCACCCTGGGTAACATATACACACACTTTTGATCAGCCCAGTACCTGTAAGTTTAACCACCAGTTCCCATCTCCTGACCAGAAAAATTGACTTTCCAGGAACACTTTTTCCACAAAATTAAATGCTATTACAATCAACTAAACTCTCTTGATTCTGCAATTCTCAATAATCAGTTTTAATTCAAATTATAAATAACTTTTTGTTAACCTATTAATTAGCAAATCACAGCAAATTAATAATATATATATATTTTAACCCAGAATCAAAATGTGACTATAGCTTGGGAAATCCTAGAGTCTTAATGATAACATGAAAGTACTTACCGACAAAGTAAGTTCGATTTCTTTATGATTGTAGTTTTTGGAAATCCTTTTCTTCAACGCTTTTACGGCATCCTTTGGCCTACAGCAGCAAATACAATGTAATCATCAATTAGGCATTGCCGAAAACCAGGAGTCTCTGCAAAGCAATGTGTACTGTAAAAGGAGGGATGGCTACAGGGAAGACGGAGGCCTTGGCTCTGAGGTGTGAGCCTGGCAGCACTCCTCACACCTGTTTCTTCATACATCTAACCTACCCCCTTGCGAGAATCTAATAAAAAATTTCCTATAGCACTGTTTACAATAAAAACTGGACACTTAAATATCCAGTAGTGTGGGATTGCATAGATAACTTGTGGTAATCCCTATTAAGAAATACTCTCTGGCTTTTCAAAATGTCTTATTAAATGGAATAATAATTAAGAAAAAAAAAGAAGTGGATTATGAATCAATACTCTAAAACGTTAACTATAGTTTTATTTGGGCGGTGGAATCATTTGTGAGTTTTATTTTATGTTTCTCTGCATTTTATAAATTTTCTCTGAGATTCATGCACCACTCGTGTAAATGTGTTTTTGAAAAATGGTTATTTAAAATTAAATTCACCAGTCACACAAACAAAAAAAATTTTTTACATAGGAGTATTACTTAGAAAGCGCTACATATGAAATATATTCATGCTCAGTTCCCTCTATCAATGTAGAACAAGTATACAGAAAATGTAATTTCCAAACAATGACGGTTTCCCATTTTGATTAAAACTAGTAGTATTTCCTGAGCATCCTGTAGGCAGGGAATGAAGGAAGCTTTACCACTCACTAGGTCAGCTTCTGATAGGCTACAATTATGATACAAAAGGAAGAACTGTATCGTATTAAATAGAGAGTCAAAATTTACTTTGAGATGGTCCAAAGGTACAAACTTCCAGTGAGAAGATAAAGAAACCCTGGGGGTGTAATCTACAACATAGTGACTTTATCTACAGTTAGCAGTGCTGTATGGTACATTTGACAGTTGCTGAGAGTAGACTGTAAACGTTCCCATCAGAAGGAAAAAAATTATTTTAGAACCATATGAGGTGAGGGATGTCAACTAAACTTACTGTGGTAATCATTTTGCATCAAAATAGGTAAGGCAAGTCTGAACCCGTAAGCTTACACAGTGCTATATGTCAATTATATCTCAATAAAACAGAAATAAATACAAGTCGTTTTTACATATTACCTTCGAATTTGTTATGTTTGCATGGATAGAATTCTATTATATGATAATAATGACATAATATTACATATGCTTACATGGAATTGTCACTATTATAAAATTGTCACTATTATAAAATTATTATATAGATTTTTCTATATTTCTAAAAAATCCCATATAAAATCTAGAATTAAATCTTAGAGAAGTTTAAAAGAATAAAGATACTATTTTATTTATTTATTTATTTATTTAATCCTCGCCCAAGGATATTTTTCCATTGATTTTAGGGAGAGTGGAAGAGTGAGGGAAAGACAGAGAGAAACATTGATGTGAGAGAAACACAATGATTGGTTGCCTCCTGCATGAGTCCTGACCAGGGCCGGGGCCAGGGAGGAGCCTGCAACAGAAGTATGTGCCCTTGACCAGAGTCTAACCTGGGACCCTTTGGTCCACAGGCCCTCACTCCACTGAGCCAAACCGGCTAGGGCAGAGATACTATTTTAAAAGGGGAAAAATTTTTGACTTTGAGATTCCCTTTTTGTATCATCAATGAAGAAATCAGTATTATCAATAAAGGGTTCGCAGAGGAACCAAATATGGAAAACAAGATTGCAACGAAAGCACCATAAACACTTTATTAACAATAAGCACTTTCTACTGATACGGTCAATAATTTAGTGTAATGCTTTCTTCAACATACATTACACTAAATCGCTTTTGCTGTCACTTCTCACTTTAATATACACAGTAAAATGAACAAATTTCATCTCTCATAGCAATCTGTAATTCAGGCTAAATTCACAAAATAGCTGGCCTTCTTAATTTTTTCAAAACTTCAATTCTCTCACGTTCCAAAGTGTAACAAAAGATAGTACGTCATTTGAAAACACAGCATGAATATGGCAAGTTGGCCTTCGGAGAAAAAAAATCCATCTTGTGACAGGGAGAGGAAGAAAAGACTGCTAGATTATTTCCTGGTTACAATAATGACAACTGCCCGGGGACAGGTCACCCCAGGAGGCCGTTAGCTTCTCGATAACATTTTTCAGTTATAGTAACATAAAATATCAGTAATCAGAGCAGGAGCAATTCCTAAAGAAGAAAACAATCTCTCTGTTTTTAAAAAATAATTATTTTTCTTAAAGAACAAGGAATTTGAACCAAAATTCGAAACTATTAAGGAAAGGGTGAAGAGGAGAAAAATGATCATGGATCCTCAGACACTGCACATGTTGAAACAAGCAGCTCTCCTAATATTTCAACCTGACGTGTCATCAAAAGGCAGTGGGCACCCCCTAAGGGGGGTGGGGGGTTGAAAACACTCTTTCAACAAGAAAAGCAAAAGAGTTTGCAAGAGAAAACACACTGTCGCTCTGATGCCTCTTGTCAGAGGCAGAGGCAGAGGCAAGAGCCACACTCTGTACTCACCCATCGCTGGCGGTGTTGATTATGTCACAAATGTGCAAGAACTGGCCCCAGTCTTCAGTCTGCACGCCCGCAAACGTAGCCTTTTCTGCAAAGAAAACACTGTTGTGTTGACTCTGAGCTACAACAGAATAAAAAATGGCTGGTCTTCCTGAAATCATCTGCCTGGGGTTTGTTAGCAAGTACCATTAAGGTTACATTGCCAAAGGGCAAAGAGATTTTTTTCTTTTTCTGAGCAATTCCCAGTAATTCAGGAATCAATCAGAACTCAAGTTCAGAGTGCTGCTGTGGCAACAGTAATGAGTGACCTATTAATACAGGCTGCAGGCACAACGCCTGGCTGCCAGGCAAGGCCAGGACGGCGAAATCTCCATCTGCCTGCCTGCTTTTCGGAGGACACCTCTGAAAACTCCCTAGCAGCCACCCAGAAGGAGAAGTGCATAGAGCTAAGTATTTTAGCTTATGTAACTCCATTTAACCCGCTGTTAGAGAGGATGAAGCTGAAGTTCAGAGACGTTAAGAAAAGTACACAAGGCTACCCAGCCGGTACAACTAGTGTTCAAATCAAAGTTGTCTGATGCCACTTTTTGTTTCTTAAAATCATTCATTCACCTGGAGGAGGAGCTGGCAAGAAAAAGAGATCAGTGGCTCAGTGGTTGAGCGTCGCCCTATAAACCAGGAGGTGACAGTTCCATTCTTGGTTGGGGCACATGCCCAGGTTGCAGGCTCCAACCCCAATGGGGGGCGGGGGGGTGCAGGAGACAGCCAATCAGTGATTCTCTCTCATGGTTATTGTTTCTATCTCTCTCTTCCTCTCCCTTCCTCTCTGAAATCAAGAAAACATATTTTCAAAAAAGAAAAAGAGATCAGAACGATTAAAATTGTCTGTGTCCTTTAGCAGTAGAGCAAGGTCACCCCTAGTACTTGTACTAACCAAAGTTGTGCCAGGCCTACTTAAACATTCAGGTATTTTTCCCTCTCCAGACATCCTCCTTACCAATACAAAATGCTGTCTGGGAAGGGTAATGGGAAAACTCAACCCCAGAGCTTAACATCTTTCCTACAAGAAAGGAGAGAATCCGTCAGCATGAAAATACCAGGTCGCAGGGGGAATGAAGAGAAAATTGAAAAGGATAACAGAGAGAAAGAAGCATACAGGTTTGGCTGGGGAAGCTGCTTCTTGGGGAAAAGAACTCCTTGAGTTTGGCATTCAGTGGACAAACCTGACCAATCTTGCCTTGTCTACGCACATGCTATCATCATTGCTTCTGCCGGACTCCTTGCTCCTCATTCCATGCTCTATCTCCAAACTTCCTGGAAAACTCCTATTCACCCTTCAAAAGCCATGGCAGAGTTAATTTCTCCCTTTTCCTACGTTTTGGGTGTTTTACATTTTTCTTGTATTTGTAAAGGTACCTACATTACAGTTACTACAAAACTGTGTCCATCTTCCCTACAAAAGTGTGCATTCCCTGAGGGTTGAGACCAGGTCTTGCCTTTGCCAAGCAGGTCCAAGCAGTCGGTAAACATTTGCATCATTAAAATAACAGGTTTGTGAAGATGCAATCTGAATCCACTTCTGCTCTGAATCCATTTCTGCTCAGAGTTTATTTCCTATCCAATAGGGGTATATAGCCAGCAACAATTTAGAAATCATTTCCTCCTTTGTAAAGACGTGGGAACTAAAGATCCGTGGGAACTAAAGATCCGGTTAAGGGGTGTGTTCCATGTCACACAGCAGCTAATGAAGCTGCAGCCCAAACTCCCCAGATCCGAGCCTCCTCACCTCACTAAGTTCCTGAGAGCGTCATGTTTTGCTTGGCATCATATGCACCGATGCCACACCTGCTTCCCAAAGGAGGCATCAGGGAGAGGAGGGAGAAGGGAGCTGGGGCTGGTAGAACAGTGTCACTGGCTCCTGCGGACAGTATTCGGATACAGCCACAGGGGACATGAGCTAGGCAGATACCTGCTGGTCCCTGGTGCCTCCAGATGGCTCCAGGGCTCCCCACTTCCTGCACTCCAGGTCTGAGCATTTGCAATCTCTTTGTTTTCTGGGAAAAGGAACTCAGGTTGTCAGGGCTTGGCGCCAGGGAGAACAGGTTTGAAGAGACCTGCCTCTCAGGGAGGTTACATCACTTCACCTCCTTGACCCCTCTCCTCCGTCTTCCTCTGCAAAACGGTCAGAACAATACTGTGCCTTCGCCAGAACGCCCTTTAGGACTAACCCTGGCAGAGAAGTTTAAGTCCTATCCTTGGAGAGGCCCAGACACTCCACACCTGGAGCCCACGCGGGGCTCACCTGTTCAGTCTACTCCGCAGAAGGCGTGCACGGGGGTGGGGGTGGGGGCAGATTTCGGAGGAGGGGGTCCTAGAAAGAGTCGGCCATACAGAAATGCCTCCAAGGGGACGGGTGGGATGCGAGTGCCCCAGGAAATTGCAGGGGGTGGGGAAGGATTTCCTCCAACTTGGACCAACTCTGTCCTCCGCCGGCCTAGAAGGGAGTCAAACGGGAAGGGTCCCCCGGCCCCCACAGCCTTCCCCGGGCGTCTGCCCCCGCGCCCCTTTACCTATAAGGTGGCCCACGGAGGTCGCAAACGGATCCCGGTGGCTCTTTCCAAACGCCATGGTAGCCCGACCGAGCGGGGCCCAGGAAAGACGCCTCCCCGTTCTCGGGCTCCACCCGCTCGGTGTCCCTGGCTCCTCCTCTCCGCCTGATCGCTTCC